ACGAAATGCTTTGATATGACTCCCCAGTGCATCATCATAAGTTGGTATGCCTACTCACCATATCAGCAACCGCTAGAGATGTGGGAAGGATTGGAGAAGGGAGGCGTCCTTGTAAGGCATACTAAATAACCTACTTCAATATAACAAAGAGTCTATTAAGCTACTTCAATATAACAAAGAATCTATTAAGCTATTTTAATGTATGCATCGTGCTGGGTAGACACAAGGCATAGGTAAACAAGCCACTGGCTGATTATTACAATAACACTGATATATAGATTAAATGGGAGTGTTTCGGAAATGAGACAGACCTCAAAATGGACATTTCACCATTACGTCGTTGTACAAATGGAGTTTCATTCATACTGAGTTCCACAATATGCCAACGCATATTGTTCACGGTATGTCTGATTTATGAAGTGCCTAATCAAATAGTGCTCGATATTAGAGTGAACAGCTACAACAATATACAATATATCGGTCTACACGGGATCTGCCGTGTTACTGGTGTGTAAATTGCATTGGTTTAACACAGCAAAAAGGTTTCAAATCAATGGACGTGCAGGAACAGAACCCACCGCACACCTACAGTAAGACATTTGTGGTTGTAAGTTTCAGTGTGGCACCAGTTGTTTCATGGCGCCTAACCCGTCATGATACAGTGGGTTCGCTCACCCAAGTTCGCCGGGCTATCTCAGCGTTACGTTTACCCTCGTTGTGAAGGCCAATAATAGCACCTTTCACTTCTTGCGATGTCCCCCGATAACTCCTCGCTCCATTCGATTTAAGTTCCTGTTGGTATCCCGTTGGCATAGAGTTGTATCCATTTATGACATCCACTCTGAGTCATGTAGTTATGGTCTGATGACTCGGAGGATTCACATCGTTCAAAAACATATATATATACTCAGACATGCCAAAGGTCGCGGATATAGAACTACCAACCGTTCAGAAACAGGTCTACTAACACTGCTGGGAAATCCTAAAATCACATCGACCCCATTGGTAACGATACTTTTTGGGGGGACTGCACAGTCACTCAAAAAACTATCTATACAATACTGTGTTGGAAAATTATGACACAACGGACGAAGGATTTTGGCAACCAAATGATAGACCAAACCTTTAATAATCTATTAGCTCAATTTTACCTGTATTCTCTCCTAATTAATTGTGGATACAATATTGGCTTCTAGCTTATAATCAACCTTTCATCCTAGATACATAAACGGGTCCATTATACTGTGTAATAACAAGATGTTGACGTGATGTTATTGTGTACTTCAACAACCGAAATCTTCAAGAGCATAACAAGATTAGTAATTACGCTAGTCTAACAACAACAAAAATTAAAAGATATAAAACTCTCCGTTGAAACAAGATAAACGTTTAATCTGTAAAATTTCTTCACCCCAAACACCCCAGTATAAAATTTATCTTTGTTTTGAGGACGAGAAAATGCTTTCTTTTAGTAAATAAGGGAAGCGAGTCTGAGCGCTATGTTGGATAGGAAATTTTACGCCCACGTTCATGGAAGTACAAAACCTCTTACCCGGCGTTATAGCTTCTTTGGGCTATTAATTAGTTACAACCCCATCGTCAACACTAAAACCTCTTTAAAATGAGTAAAAAAAAAACTCCCTAGCCAGCCTTAAAACCCAGTAAGGGAGATTAGCTTAGGTTAGGTCCGCCAGGGCAATGAGACCGACATTCAGGTTAGGTCAGTACTTATTCCTAACTTTGTCACCAACAGCCATCCACCTAAACGCCCCTTTGAGTCATGAATTGAATTATCTAGTCACTTAACGAAATTATTCAAAAGTGATAGCATCAAAAACTTAATTAAGAACAGTGACGTGTCCCAATTTTAATCATTAATTCTTTTCCACTGGGAAATTAAGATATTTACGTATTTATTTCTTGCCTCGACTTCTAGGAGTCGAAAAATTACCTAGTTTACTGTACTTGTTCTCCATATTTTCTATAATAACTTCCTTCACCACAACACGATTCCTCACCTTGAGCACTTTAGCTTTGTAACCAGGAACGAATTTTTTTATTTTTTTACAAACGTTGAACTTAATATATTCAATGTCTGGTTACTATTAAAACTGTACTCACCATAATAATGTTCCTTACAGGAGTCTTCGTCGTGCTGCTGGAGAGGGGGAGGGGGGGGGTGTTGTTTACCTGTACACTTGGTAGAGTTGTAGTGTGGAGCACCGTCTTATACACTATACATGATCACCGTCTTATACACTATACATGATCACCGTCTTATACACTATACATGATCACCGTCTTATACACTATACATGATCACCGTCTTATACACTATACATGATCACCGTCTTATACACTATATGTGGGCTCACACATTATACGTGTACAGCGTCACACACTATAAAACACTGTATCTCTGAGCACTTGTGAAGGTCTACCACACAGTATCACCTTAAGTCATCGTCAACAGCGGTACACGAGGATTGTGGGCGTGTGTCTACTGCCTCACTCACACTCAGACTACCTCTCCCTCACAGGCTCACACACCTCACCGTGCAGTCACGGCTGAATAGATCAACTACCACCGTGCAGTTGTCGCCTTGTTAAACCATTTATTTCAGTTTGAGGCTATTTTTTGACAATATTTCCTGACATGATGCTATACTATTGTTGTATTGATTCTGTGTTTATTTATATTATAGAATGGGTAAGTGAAAAAATACGTAGGGTTGACCTGTGCGATGTAAAAAACAAAAACAAAAAAAAACAGACCCAGCGATTGTCACCTGTGTTTGTTTACATCCAGGACCTACCAGCGTATCCAGCGTTGTTTTTCGGTTGTCCGTTCGTCCGTCTGTCCGCCACGTTGACAACCACCACCTTGTAGAAGCTGTCCCCCAATAACCAATAGACTTACACTGAAGGTCATGCAGACGCCAGATAGGAGGAGTAATGTGTATGTGTACAGATGCCGACAAAACTTACCCCCGATAGTTTAGGCAATACATAACGCACTATATGTTGATTATATGCATCCAGTTATGGCTTTTGAATACTTACGGCTTTTGAATACTGCGTTTCATTAATATAATCCTAAACCTTCCTCACCTACTTGATCCTTAAGTAATGATGTCAGATATTACCAAAAGTCTCAAGGGAAGTTTGTTTACTGTACACCAATTCACCAAGGATGGTTAAGAAGTGATGAGGCGGAACTTACTGAACATCCTTCCCAGATCCGATGACCGTTCTAGATTGCATAACATTTTACTATAAACTATAGCTATGATTTCAGTTTGAATATTTTTTTAGAGTTTTTTAGCTTTCAGTATTTTTATTCTTTTAAGTAGTTTATTTATATTTTTTTATTGGATCAATATATTTTTTCAGTTTGTTAAGATGTGTTAGTTATCAGCCATGGAAACGTGGCTCTCTGGCTTAGGTGTGTGTGTGTGTGTGTGTGTGTGTGTGTGTTCTGAAATAAAGATATGAACACACACACACACACACTTATTAAACCATTAAAAAACACACAGTATGTTAAGGATTATATAACAAGAAAGACTCGTATATTACACATTCACTTGGCAACCTTTACTGACTAGTGCAAAACACCTTACAACACCCAATGTTTGTTTGTTTTTTAATCTAATGTTGACACACTCACTTCTTAAAGTCTTCTTAACACAACACACACAGTAAGAAAATATCATAGCGCCTCGTCCTTAAAACACAAGCATGACAAAAGTCCATTACTTGTATCTGATAATCACAATGAATTAGAGAATCTTATTTCTTAAACATTGAAACACTAAAATGGGAGGAAGGAATTGAGTACCTATATGGCTTGATGGAGTCTAATGGCGTGAAATTAATATTTATAATACTTCATAATGCTCTCTGACTAGTAGCAGCTAAGCTGACAATGTCTGATGGGTGTATAAAGCTTCGCTAGATATGACTTGTGTTTAATGAGGGAAGCCTAACATAATGTGACACTTTCTGATTACTTCCTTGAAAAAAAAAATACATATGCAAATTTATCTCTATTATGAACATTTAATATATTCCAATTTCTTTCTTTCTTGCGTTTAAAACCATAAGTAAAAAATCTACACTTACTCATTTTGCACACAGACTCGAGACATTACTGCATATTGAAGTAGTTTCCCCCATAAGTCTCCACAGCCATACAATAGCACACAATCCTCCCCTTCTAAGTCTATGGGCTATTGTAGTTGTATTTATTTTTTCCCATGGACAATGTTCAGCACAAAGCTCTAACAACATTTAAAGCGGTACACCCTGTTTATACCTTATGTGTCTCATTATATACAAGAGTAGTGGGAGATACAGCCTCCTCTTCCTTACCAGCGAGAATTGACGAGTATAAAAAACTTAGCTTCTGGTGGAGAGTTGTAGAAATCACACGCACGCACACACACACACACACACACACACACACATTAAGAAAAGCTAGTTACATCCATTTATACATATACAATTATATCACATAAAACAGTAAGCCTATATCATGATGAGTTACCTATCGTTAAGTTACATCTGCTATTATGATATGCTGTTGTATCATGCCCTCCCCAACACATGATGAGAATTAATAAATGGAAATATAAAGTTTTTTTGGGGTCTCCTTGTTAACACGTCGACTGATTTAGAATATTTGGTCCCACTCATTCATCCGAGTCTCACAAACACACGTAGCTGATATATTGATATATTTAATGTAAAGCAAATCCGATTTCGTCAGCCAAGTGCGCATTGATTGACTGACTGACTGACACACATCAGCCTTGAAATAATAATACGAAACATGGAGAAGACGTCACGTTGCGTCATCGGTTCACCTGTCACCTGCCCTCACCTTCACCTGCAAGTCCTTAATATTAATATCTGAATCATTTGGCCTTTTTAAGATACTTTTTTCTGAACATTGTCTTTATTTTTCGCTGAGTTTTGAGCAGCTGTTTGGCTACTTCATGAAAGTTTTGTTTTTTGTTTTTATATCTGTATATATATATATTTTTTAGAAAATTTCACTGCCATCCTGACCATAATTGTTTTTGAAGATGCAAAAAGATTGGTAAAATTGTTTGTTTGTTTGTTTGTGTGTAGTTTAGCACCGTAGCGACAGATTCTGCTTACAAAGTTTCGCACTAAACACAGCTGCACTAATGTTTTATTATGGAAGAACTCCACACTTGATCCTGAAGGTCGTCCTCCAGGTCATCACCAGAGTGTGTGGGTAAGTGTTTATCTTCATGATGCATGGAATACTGTGGAGTATATTTTACACCTGGGTCACGTTGCGACGCTTGCGGTCTGCCTGTGGGAGGTGTGGCTGGTGGGATGTGGGCGTGGAGGCGTTGGTGTGGGCGCGGGAGAGTAGGTGACCTGTGAGAGGCTCCTCCCAGGTGGAGGTGTAGTTGTTGTAATCCAGTCTGGGGACAGCACAGTGGCAGGTGTTGTCCTCGTGGGTGCAGGGCGGGTAAGCTGGAGGGTCGTCGCCGCTGTTACTGCCGTCACCGCTGGACACTTGATGGTTGTTCGTTACCGTGACGTCCGGGAAAGGCGCCTGTGGAGGCGGGGCGTTCACTTTGTAGGCCACTGGTCCGTCTTCATCCACCTCGTTGTGCACTGACAGTCGGCGTTCGTGTTCCTTGAGGAGGGTGGTGGCGTCCCACGACTGGACGGGAGAGAGAGAGCGGCCGTCTCCTACCGCCACCGGTACCTCCTTCACCACACTGTCCAGGGACTCATGGCTGCCCCCGCCCTCCTCCACACTCAGTGCCCCGGGTTTCACCATCAGGTTACCACTACCGTTACCCTCCTGCACCTTCTTCATGTCCTTCTCCTGCTGCTGCTTCCGCCGCCTGGTGGTGTGGCAGTAGCAGTAGGACACCAGGGCGGCCACCACCACCAGGAAGCCACCGATGCTGCCCAGGATGACGGCTATGTCCTCTAACTGTAGCTCTGATATCCCCACCGGCCGACCTGACCCAAGTTCTGATGGCATCGTGTAGTTACCTAGAATAAGACAAAAGGTTATATAACAGTTCTCACTGCCCCTCTGACGGTTAATATATATATATATATATATATATATATATATATATATATATATATATATATATATATATATATATATATATATATATATATATATATATATATATATATATATATCTACGTAATGATTGTTTATCAGACCATAGCTTACAGCCCAGAGAAGAACAACACATATAAAAGAACCGGATGCACAGGTGTACACCCATGTAAGTTGACCCACCCTTCGTAATTAAAGTAATATTAAGACCTGACCCAGCAGAGGTCACGGTCACAATGAAACAGTTCTCACTGCTGCGTGATTAGTCAAACCAGTGTCATGGTCGTGTTAACTCAAAAACTACACTCCAGCCCGCACCTGTTCAAACGCAGCTGTCTCAACACACCCAGATTAGTGACAACATCTGCCGGCCTGACACCGCCAATATAAGGGGCCGACAGCTCCTTCCCAGGGAGAGACAGAACCAAGAGGCAGACGGAGTCACACTCGTCACAAGTTAATGTCGGGAGAGGGAATTCCTTTCCCAGCACCGAGTCCCCAACTAGCAGAGTCCAGCAACTGCTGGAACCAGTCTCTTCAGCAGCACCTGCAGATAGATTCCCCAGCCGCTGGGCTTCCCTTAGATCACAAGAGAGTCATTGTCAGAGCGATCCATAGGGTGAGTTACTTACGGTGGGAAGTGTATCCATTTCATGTTTGTGTCCGGGAGTCATTGTCTAGTAACGTGACGTCGATATATTTATTAACGTGTCCGTGTCGTTCAGTAGATTTCCCCTAAGAATATATTAACGGTTAAATAACTAATCGGCCACGCTACCAACTTTCGTCACTTTACAATCCTACAACTATAAATTCTTACTTCTACCTATACTTTCTACTCTACTTTTCCCTCATAATATATATATATATATATATATATATATATATATATATATATATATATATATATATATATATATATATATATATATATATATATATATATATATATGTGTGTGTGTGTGTGTGTGTGTGTGTGTGTGTGTGTGTGTACAAATAAGATAATACACAAACCAGAGTTCCGAGGATTTTTATGGAACAATGATGAGAAATACACGACATATACTGTGACCATTGTGTATGTTGTGGTGGTGTATGTCACAAGGTAGTGGTGTGTGTCACGAGGAGATGGTGTGTGTCACAAGGTGGTGGTGTGTGCCACAAGGTGGTGGTGTGTGCCACAAGATGGTGGAGAGTGTCACAAAGAGATGGTGTGTGCCACAAGGTGGTGGTGTGTGTCACAAGGTGGTGGAGAGTGTCACAAAGAGATGGTGTGTGTCACACACAAGGTGGTGGTGTGTGTCACAAGATGGTGGAGAGTGTCACAAAGAGATGGTGTGTGCCACAAGGTGGTGGTGTGTGCCACAAGGTGGTGGTGGTGTGTGCCACAAGGTGGTGGTGTGTGTCACAAGATGGTGGAGTGTCAAAAGAGATGGTGTGTGTCACAAGGTGGTGGTGTGTGCCACAAGGTGGTGGTGTGTGTCACAAGATGGTGGAGAGTGTCACAAAGAGATGGTGTGTGCCACAAGGTGGTGGTGTGTGTCACAAGGTGGTGGTGTGTGTCACAAGGTGGTGGTGTGTCACAAGGTGGTGGTGTGTGTGGTGGTGGTGTGTGTGGTGGTGTGTGCCACAAGGTGGTGGTGTGTGCACAGGTGGTGGTGTGTGTGGTGGTGGTGTGTCACAAGGTGGTGGTGTGTGTCACAAGGTGGTGGTGTGTGTCACAAGGTGGTGGTGTGTCACAAGGTGGTGGTGTGTGTCACAAGATGGTGGTGTGTGTCACAAGGTGGTGGTGTGTGTCACAAGGTGGTGGTGTGTCACAAGGTGGTGGTGTGTGTCACAAGGTGGTGGTGTGTGTCACAAGGTGGCGGTGTGTGCACAAGGTGGTGGTGTGTCACAAGGTGGTGGTGTGTCACAAGAAGATGGTAGTGTGTGTCACAAGGTGGTGGTGTGTGTCACAAGGTGGTGGTGTGTGTCACACACACACACAAGATGGTGGTGTGTGTCACAAGGTGGTGGTGTGTGTCACAAGGAGGTGATGTGTGCCACAAGGTGGTGGTGTGTGTGGTGGTGTGTCACAAGGTGGTGGTGTGTGTCACAAGGTGGTGGTGTGTGCCACAAGGTGGTGGTGTGTGCCACAAGGTGGTGGTGTGTGTCACAAGGTGGTGGTGTGTGCCACAAGGTGGTGGTGTGTGCCACAAGGTGGTGGTGTGTGTCACACACAAGATGGTGTGTGTCACAAGGTGGTGGTGTGTGTCACAAGGTGGTGGTGTGTGTCACAAGGTGGTGGTGTGTGTCACAAGGTGGTGGTGTGTGCCACAAGGTGGTGGTGTGTGTGGTGGTGGTGTGTGTCACACACAAGATGGTAGTGTGTGGTGTGTGTGGTGCACAGGAGGTGGTGTGTGTCACAAGGTGGCGGTGTGTGCCACAAGGTGGTGGTGTGTGCCACAAGGTGGTGGTGTGTGCCACAAGGTGGTGGTGTGTGTCACAAGGTGGTGGTGTGTGTCACAAGGCAGTAGAGTGGTAAGAGGTGAAGTACAGTACCTGAGGTGGTGAGAGCTGGGTGTGTTCTGGTGGTGATCTCGTAGGTGGTGGGTGGTCGAGGTACCCAGAGGGCGGCAATGTTGCCCACGCCGCCCATGTTGCCCGCCTTGTCCACCGCCCGTATCGTTACAAACCACAGCTGTCACGCCCACGAAGACACACACAAGTTAGAAATAATTCATATTTAATATACTGATTAACTACATCTCCCTGACTAAGTTATAAGACTTAGAATATTCTAAACTACACAATCGCAATGTTCTTTTTACTCGTAGTTGTTGTAGTTGTTACTAACTCCAATATTCGTGTTTGTTGTCAAAAAGTAATGCAGTGTATATATATATATATATATATATATATATATATATATATATATATATATATATATATATATATATATATATATATATATATATATATATATATATATATATATATATATATATATATATATATATATTGTGATGTAAATAGGTTAGGTTTTTCAGAGGTTTACCATAAAACATTGTGTTTATATGTGATAGCCTGTACACAACAATATATATATATATATATATATATATATATATATATATATATATATATATATATATATATATATATATGTATGTATATATATATATATATATTTTTTTTACGGGGAATAGCCCACCCGGGCACAGGTCATCGACCCACAACGGGCCCTGGGGGGGCGAAAAAATAAGAGTAAAAACAAATGAAAAATAGAAAAGAAAAAGCTTATATTAATCTACACCACTAAGATGCCGGAAAACCAGCTTTTTGAAGTGAGACAGATTGTATAAGTATGGAAACACAGAAGAAGGCAGAGCATTCCACAGTTTGGCTGTGTGAGGAAAAAAGGAGGTACTATAACGGGTTATTCTAGTGTGACCGACATCCACAGAGAAACGGTGGGCACCGCGGGCAAGACGTGTGTTATGAGCCCACGGCCGAACATTGCCCGTTAAAGTACCTGTAAAAGAGAGAGTGGAGCAACATTTCGGCAAAGAGAAAGGGAAGAAAGATTGTCAACTAAGGGGGGGGGGGAGTTAATAAAATGAAATGCCTTTGATTCCACCCTACATAACAGTTGGGCAGAAGAAGAGCCACCCCAGATATGAGAGCAGTACTCCAAGTTAGAATGAATGAATCCCTTAAACTTTGAAGCAACTGCTCAGGAGTGAAGTACAGGGTAACTTCGGCATCTTTACAGCATTCCCAGCTTTCGGGAGGCAGCTTTAGCAATGTTGTGGATGTGTGGCTTCCATAACATATTAGACTGTGATATATAAAGTGTTTTTGTAGCAGTTGATGAGTTGATTAACTATCAAATCAATGTTTTATTTATGCCAATAAAACAATGCAACGTGTGTGTGTGTGTGTGTGTGTGTGTGTGTGTGTGTGTACTATGATTCCGAGGTTTAACCCTGTATTGCAATGTAGAAAGATATACTATAGTTATAAGTGTGATCATCTCAGAGGCTTCAATGTGTCATAATCAACACCAGGTAAGTGTATCGTGCAGGTTTGTACTGATCACTGACCTCCTCGTATCTGGTGAAGTGAAGGTTGGTAGTGTGGAGAGTCCCGGCTGGCAGAGGTTGAGGAAGACCCGTCAGACGGTCGCCCTGAAAGGCTCTGGCCTCCCTCCAGAAGGGGGCCACCACAGCCTCGTAGTGGTGGGCTCGTTCCACGTCCCAGTCGTCTCCCGGGGCCGTCCAGCGGAGCCTGATCTCGTGTACTGTGTCGTTGACCTCTACACGGAGGTCCAGGATGCGTGAGGGAGGGACATTGTCACGGTGGGAGGGCGAGGACATTACCTCCAGGACACCCCAGGTTACGTGCCGCAGGAAAGGTGGGGCACGGCGAGTGTGGACGTGAGGCAGAGAGTGGCCGCAACAGGTCTGTTCACCGTTCCAAGTTTCGTAGCCGTGTTGGTGGTAGTGAGGGAGGTGTGAAGACAGGCTCTTGTGGTGGCGTGTTGGGGGTCCCTTGGCTACTGCCGCCAGCCCACTGTTGTAGTCGATGTCGGCGCTGAGCAGATAGCGGCCTGGGCTGCCTGGCAGTGATGGCAGGTAGCGCGAGTACACCCCGTCTCCCTTGGTGATGTCCGGATCTGTGACACAACACATCATAAATGCTAAGAGATAAAAGGAAATGCTTAGGGTCTCGCTTCTATTCAGGGATAAACCCAAGAACATATACATAAAAAAAATGTTACATTGGATACACTATTTAGATGGTAATTTACCATTATATATGTGAAGAAAGGTTCAGTGGGTTGGAAAATTATACAAACATTCTCTGATGTTACATAAGCAGTAACTTCATTTTTTCTTTTTTGTTCTACCAAGAGGAAAACGATGAAATTACCCATAGCGAAGTTCTGTAGTAGAAAATGTAACGTACACCAACGCCTGTTTATGTAATGTAGACCGGAACCCATGGACTGGAAGAAGCTGTGATGGAGTATTTAAGAAGAGAATGTAAAGGAGAAGAGAGACAGCATAACGCGAGGAATAAGTAACCTGATGAAGATGATAAGTAACAAATTATGTAGTGTGATAGAGTACCTGTATAGAGAATAATGACAGCCAGAGTAAAGAAGTACATATTAGGAAGACAAATGGAAATGCATATGGGGGCTGGAGGCAAGATATACAGTATAGTAGGTGGGAGGGGCGCTGTGACAGAAGAATCTATCCAAATATACAGTAGTGAAGGTGTCAGGAAGGTTCAGCGTGAGCAGCTCTGTCACACAAGGGAATAAGTATGTGGGAGGCAGAGAGTAAGAAAGAGATGACCAATAAAGAAGGCTCACCACCGACGCCGTTGTCCCACAGATGGAGGAAGATGGGCTGGTAGTTGCTGCCGGTGGCGTTGGTGCCCAGCCTTTGGAGTCTGGCCACCACCCGGGCCTCCATGATGGGCGCCACGCCAGACTTCACCTCGGTGTAGATCACCACAGGTGTCGACGGGTCGGAGGAGTTGATGGGTCGTGAGCCAGAGCTGGTCCACAGGCGCACCTGCAGCCCCGTGGAGGAGTTACGCTTGGCTGTCACCTGCACATAAAGGCCCTGGTGGGAGTCAGCGCGGTTCTCTACGCTGTACGTCCACAACCCACGCTGTATGGTGCGAGACAAGAGGTAATCGGTGACTCAGGTAAAATTTAGATAATTTTGCTGAAAAAAGTTGGACCTTAATGGTCATGCCAAATGTACAGTAAATTATGTGTGTGATCATGATTCACTCGTCTCCTTCCATAACATGTACAATAGGTAAAGTCAAATTCACTCCAGGAAACTCTTACTCGGGATGATGTTAACGGTACTGAATTACACATTACAACTCACCTCTGCCTTCTCCAGACGGACGAAGATCATGTTGACATCACCATCTTCTTCCTGTACGTTGACGGAAGAGATCATCTGGCCGGACGGGGCGGTGAGCTGGATGGCGTTGCCTACATGGTTTAGGTCGTAATAATAGACGGAGAAGCGAGCGTTGGGGCCCAGAGAGTCGTCCAGGGCGAAGGAACCAGCAGACATGGAAGCAATGCCGCCGGGGTAGGCTGAGCTGTGGACCAGAACAGGGGCTCCGGGTGATGAAGAAGGTGCGCTTTGCTGCACTGCCGCCAGGAGGGCGTCCATCAGCGCCACCATCATCTTCACCTTAGAGTCATTACCAACACCTTCATCCATGACGGTGAAAATGGAGCCTCGCGTGGCCTCCGTAATAACCTCGAGGCCGTGTGAGACAGTGGCAGCTCCACGACGCTCGGTCAGCGGGTACAGCACCACCTCAATCCTCAGGTGCCGCTGTGACGCCAGACGCATCAGCTCGTCCACCTCATGTTGTGGCGTCGGGCCGCTGCCAGTGGTGATCAAGATGAGAGTGGCACCATCAGCGGTCTTGTCGTCATAGTCCAGCACTCCCAGCGCCTCATTGACCCCACACAAGATACATTTGTGGCTCTCAGGTGTTGGTGAAGGATTGCGGGGTAAGGATGAGCCTACACGTTGCCTCATGTCTGAGTCTTCACTCTCAATAAAAGTGAGGGGAGCCACAGTCCGCGCTATAGAGTGGAAGGTGACCACACCCACACGAGCTCCGTCAGGCACATCATACACCACCACTCGACGCATCGCCTTTCTCAAGAACTCCCAGCGACGCTGTCAGGAATACAACGGCTCATGAGAATACTAGAAGCAATGAAGACTTCATGCAAATATCGCAATACTTCGAAATATATTTTTCTCTGTATGGAGGTTAAGAACATAAGGATGGAGGAAACTGCAGCGGGCCTATTGGCCCATACTAGGCAGCCCCGTTTATACCCAACCCCTATCGCTCATATATCCGTCCAACCTATATTTGAAGCTATTCAGCGTGTTCGAGTCAATGATGAGGTTTGGTAACTTGTTCCACTTATCCACATTATATTTCCAAACCTGTGTTTACCTATCTCGCGCCTATATCTAAATTTGTCTAATTTAAAACCATTGCTATGAGTTCGCTCCTGGTTGGATAGTTTGAGTACCTTTGTTATATCACCTGTGCTTAACCCTGACTTCCATTTTATATACCTCCTCTGTATGCTTTCTAGGGATTCGATATCCATTCTGTAGTACGGTGACCAAAACTGACCTACATAATCTAAGTGAGGTCTCACAAGCGCAAGATATAGTTTTAGGATAACTTCGCTAGTCTTGTAACTAACACTCCTTTGTATGAACTCAAGTACTTTGTTAGCCTTGTTTCGAGCAAATACACATTGTTTACTTGGTTTAAGATTCCTACTTATCATTACCCCTAAATCTTTCTCACAGTCGGATTTCTCTATAACAACGTTGTTCATCTGATATCTGGTTTATCTGTTTACATCTCCTAGGCTAAGTACTTTACATTTGTCCACATTAAATTTCATCTGCCATATGCAAAAAGTTTGTTTAGATCTTCCTGTAGTTTTGCCGAGTCCTCGTCAGAATTAATTATGTGCCCTATTTTAGTATCGTCAGCAAATTTACTTATGTTGTCGTTTATGTATATCATAAATAGTAATGGTCCAAGTACTGAGCCTTGAGGTACTCCACATGTGAAGTCACCTCAATCGGATTTCGTGCCATTAATGCCGACTCTCTGTTTCCTGTCCTGTAAACAAGCCCTAATCAATTTTAGAGTATCTCCTCCAATTCCGTGTGCCTCCACTTTACATATTAGTCTTTCGTGGGGGACCCTGTCGAAGGCTTTGCTAAAGTCGAAGTATACCACATCATAATTGTGTCCATCATCCACTGATTGGAAAACAGTCGAAAAGAGTAATAATAGATTTGTCAGTCATGAACGCCCACTTGTAGATCCGTGCTGGAAATCATTGATCAATATCTGTTTATTGAGGTGAATTCTAATTGAGTTTGAAATTATTGCTTCCAGTAATTTGCCTACAATTCATGTTAAACTAATTGGACGGTAGTTAGAGGATAGTCATCTATCACCCTTCTTGAAAATCGGCATTACATTCGCTATCCTCCAGGATTCTGGTACTACATCGGTTTTTAATGACACGTTAAACGAGTTTGCTGAGAGCATGTAACTCACCTGGAGGTTCATGTAACTCACCTGGAGGTTCATGTAACTCACCTGGAGGTTCATGTAACTCACCTGGAGGTTCATGTAACTCACCTGGAGGTTCATGTAACTCACCTGGAGGTTCATGCAACTCACCTGGAGGTTCATGGTGGCGGTGTCCTCGATGACGAAGACGTAGCGAGGACTGGCCTGCTGGATGAACCTGAACATGGGCTCCAGACCTCGACTCCCATTACTGGCCCTGTTACTGTGAAGGAGAGACAGATGGTGGCTGTCAGGGGAGGCCGGACACAACACACCCTCACACCACACAAGTTCCCAATTAGGTTTGGTTAGGTTATAGTGTTCGGTTAAGTTAAGTTAGGTGAGGATAGTGCTAGGTAAGGTTAGAATAGCGTGAAGTAAGATTAAGCTTGGTTAGGTTAGGATAGTGCCAGGTAAGGTTAGGATAGCGTCAAGTTAGGTGAGGAAAGTATTTAACTTAGGTTAGGAAAGTATTTAACTTAGGTTTGGAATCTTGTATTACATCTGGCCATAAAAAAATGGTTTAACAATGCAACTTTATATAAATTTCAGGAGTTTTCTTTTGGATCACCCGAAGATAGACAAACCAACTTATATCAGCTGACGATTAAAAACCTTAAGGTTAGGTTAGGTTTGGTTAGGTTAGGTTTGGTTAGGTTAGGTTTGGTTGGGTTTCGTCAGTTTTTTCCATGTTTTTACTCCACAATTTCCTTCTATTTCAAAGTCCTGTTCACTTCCTATGATCAAAACTGCATTTTTAAGTGAAATAAAAAAATAAAAAAATCGAAAAATATTAATTTCCAACGAAAACACTATAAAGCATTTTTTTTTACTCCATCTCCCTACATAATAATATACATATCAATATAGAGTTCCGTGGTTGTCCTTTACCGAATCTTTACCACTCTTAGTGTGAATCATTATACACATACTCGTGTTTCAGAATAAAAGCCTGAGCGTGAATGAGTCAATATTTGCTCCCTCCCTCCCTTCCTTCCCCCTTTCCTTTGTCCCTCCACCCCTCTTCCTTCTTCATCCCTTCCCACTCTTCAACCTCCTTCCTAACCTTCATTCCTCCTTCCTTCCCTTCCTCCCCTCTCTCCATCCCTCCCTCCATTCCTTCACACCTTCTCACTTTCCCTACTATCCTCTCCCTCCTCTCTCCCCCCTATCTTCCTTTTCACTCCCTCCTAGCCTCTACCCCCCCCTCCTCCCTCCCAATACTCACCGCCCTCCTACAAAGTCCGGTGTTTGCTGTATAATCTGCCAGGCTGAGCGGCCGCCACACAGCGAGTTGTGTTTGGTCGGCGCTTCTCTGTTGTGAGTCGTATCGTTACAGAACAGTCGAACCTGTAAGAGAAATAAAGATACAGTATAACACCTGAAACACGCTCATTCTTACAGTATAGGACCTGTAATACCTGTACATACATACATACATACATACATACATACATACATACATACTGTACATGTCAGGGAGAGGGAGGGAGAGAGGGGGGGGAGGGTGGAGATGAGATAGAGGAAAGAAGAGAGGAACGGAAGGAGGGACGAAGGGAAAGGAAGGAAGGAAGGAATAGGAAGATGGGAACATATATGAAGGGAATGAGGGAAGAAGGGGTGTAAAGGAGGGAAGGGGAACGAGAACGGGAGGAGGGAAGGAGAGAGGAAAGAACAGGAAGAAGGAAAGAGGAGAACTGCCAGAGAGGTAAGGATCATAAGACGCTCAATGGGACATGAACTGGGGACGAGGAAAGATAGGCAGGAAGGAAGAAGGGAGGGAGGAAAGGAAGGAAGAGGGTAGGGAGGAAAGGAAGGAAGAGGGGAGGGAGAGAAGGAAGGAGGGTCATTAAACGTGTCTGTACATGACCCCGTAAGCTCTTATTAGGAGGAAGGGAAGGAACAAGGCCGAGAGAAGGAAGGAAGGAAGAAGGTAAGGAAGGAGAGAAGTAGGGAGAAAGGGAGGTAAGGATGATGAGAGGGAGATTGGCAAAGTTCCACTACCAGTATATCGGTGACATAACGAGCCACTCAAAGCGAGAGAGAGAGAGAGAGAGAGAGAGAGAGAGAGAGAGAGAGAGAGAGAGAGAGAGAGAGAGAGAGAGAGAGAGAGAGAGAGAGAGAGAGAGAGAGAGAGAGAGAGAGAGAGAGAGAGAGACAGACAGACAGAGAGAGAGAGAGAGAGAGAGAGAGAGAGAGAGAGAGAGAGAGAGAGAGAGAGAGAGAGAGAGAGAGAGAGAGAGAGAGAGAGAGAGAGAGAGAGAGAGAGAGAGAGAGAGAGAGGGGGGTCACTAAACATCTGGCACCATTTGCTTCCCCTAAACAAAAAAATTGAGAAGTATAGGAGAAGCTTGTTAACCTGAGTTAGGGAGGAAGGGAGAGAGAAAGAGAGAGGAGAGAGGGATTTATGGGTGAGTGGGAAGGATGGTGAGTGGTGTGGTGGTAGGGAAGGAGAGGGAGAAATTAGAAGGAAGAGAGGGAGAAGTGAGAGGGCGATTTGTTGGTGAAGGGGATGGGTGGTGAGTGGTGTGGTGGGAGGGAAGGAGAGGGGGAAATTAAAAGGGGGAGAGGGAAGGGTGGTGAGTGGTGTTTGGTTTTAGGGAAGGAGAGGGAGAGAGTGGAAGGGAGAGAGGGAGGAGTGAGAGGGCGATTTATGGGTGAGAGGGAGGGTTGGTGAGTGGTGTTTGGTTTTAGGGAAGGAGAGGGAGAGAGTGGAAGGGAGAGAGGGAGGAGTGAGAGGGCGATTTATGGGTGAGAGGGAGGGTTGGTGAGTGGTCTGATGAAAGGGAGAGTTTCTGAGTGGGTCAATGAGAAAGAGAGGGAGGGAGAGGTGGCGTGAGAAGAAAGAAACGAAGGAAGGGAAGGAGAAATGGAGGGAATGAAAAAAGAGAAGGAAGGAGGGAGGGAGAGAGGGAAAGCATGCAGGGAAGGATAGAAGAAGGGAATGAAGTGAAGGATAGAGGAAGGGAAGAATAGATGGAGGGAATGATAGATGGAGGGAAGGAAAGATGGAGGGTAGGATAGATGGAGGGGAAGAATAGATGGAGGGAAGGAAAGGGGAGAAGGATATGGGAGGAATGATAGATGGAGGGAAGGAAAGATGGAGGGAAGGATAAATGAAGGGAAGGATAGGGGGAGGGAAGGATAGATGGAGGGAATGATAGATGGAGGAAAGGATGGAGGGAAGGATGGAGGGAAGGATAGATGGAGGGAAGGATAGATGGAGGGAATGAGATAGATGGAGGGAAGATGGATGAATGGGAGGATAGAGGGAGAAGGAAGATGAGGGAAGGAAAGATGGAGGGAAGGATAGAGGGAGGAAGGAGATGGAGGGAATGATAGAGGAGGAAGGATAGGATGAATGGAGGATAGAGGGAGGGAAGGATAGATGGAGGGAAGGAAAGATGGAGGGAAGGATAGAGGGAGGGAAGGATAGATGGAGGGAAGGAAAGATGGAGGGAAGGATAGAGGGAGGGAAGGATAGATGGAGGGAAGGATAGAGGGAGGGAAGGATAGAGGGAGGGAAGGATAGATGCAGGGAAGAATAGAGGGAGGGAAGAATAGAGGGACGGAAGGATAGATGAAGGGAAGGATAGAGGGAGGGAAGGATAGATGAATGGAAGGATAGAGGGACGGAAGGATAGATGAAAGGAAGGATAGAGGAAAGGAAGGATAGATGAATGGGAAGAGGGAGGAAGGGAAGGATAGAGGGAGGGAAGGATAGATGAAGGGAAGGAGGGAGGAACGAAAGACTCACAGTGATTGATGAAAAAAGAAGTAATTAGAACAACACCCTAACCCGTCATCAAAGGTCAATAGTAAACAAACAACAATAAAATGAATCCTTCTCCAAAAAAATGTAGATTATGAAAAGAAATGTCCACTTTTTTTTCTTCAATGACTCTGTATTATATCTCACTCTACGGTTGTCTCTCAAGTCTGAAATAAAAATGATTCAATTTGCAACGGTTCGAAGCTTGGCATCCTTTATTTATAGACCCGAATAAAAAGCTTCATTTATTCCGACACATTCAGTTACCATCAGAATCCATTTACAACGTGTCCTCTATATATATATATATATATATATATATATATATATATATATATATATATATATATATATATATATATATATATATATATATATATATATATATATATATATATATATGTTTTGTTTTATTATCTACAAAGTTAAAATACAACTGGAATAAACGATGAAATTCAGAATATATTGTAAATTGTTTTTAATGGATTTTGGCATACAGAGTTGAAGGTAGTTTTTATATACTGTAAATACTTTGTGTCTATTTAGTGATGGATGTGATACGTTCACACACACACACACACACACACACACACACACACACACACACACACACACACACACACACACACACACACACACACACACACACTTTCTTAATATCACTTTCTGGTGCACGAAATTGCAATACGAATCAACCCGCGCAAGACAAGACGCTGACCAAGAAACACACTACTTTAATTAATCGTTTAAGTTAATGTTATAATGAATTACTGCTTTTAAACAGCTATGGAAGATCCTTAACTAATTGACTACGGTCACTTAACCCTTGAGAACAGTGACTTCAAACCCTTGAGGACGATGACAGAGGATTTGGTCATCGTAATCAAAGGTTTAGGTAATCGAACTCAAGAGGATATCATCGTACTCAAGGAGTTAAGCACGTACTGTAAGTTAGATAATTCACAAGAGTTTACTAAATAAACTCTAAGAACAATACATCTATCTGCTCAGTTATAAGCACAGAGAGAGAGAGAGAGAGAGAGAGAGAGAGAGAGAGAGAGAGAGAGAGAGAGAGAGAGAGAGAGAGAGAGAGAGAGAGAGAGAGACATACCATAGTGTAAAGTAAGTGTATAAGTCAACAACGTCATGAAGAAGACATTATGGTGACAGACGAACAGCTTACTCCCGGAAACGAGAGCCAGTAAAGCACCACTGGTCCCGGGGTGTTAAGAGCTTATGCAGGTGCCATAAAAAAACAACGCCAGTTCAAGCAAAATACTGCCTGACGTATAGCGTTCATAAGGGTCATTGTGGTTTAGAGGGAATGTCAGGCTATTTCTTTTTTGCTCGTGCTGGCGCTAAGAATTGGGTGTTAAGGTAAAAGGTACTCACGTTGGGGAGATCGGGGAAGGCGAGGAGGGAGGTGACGAGGTGGGTGTTGGTGTAGATGTCCGGAGTGAAGGTACAGCTAGGCTGGGCGGGGTCACAGGTACTGCCCTTCACTGTCCCGTCAGCACATCCCGTCCCTGACCACTGATGGGTGCTGGGGTCACGGTAGTTGGTGGGATAGAGGGGGTCGTTGGTGTGACCTCGCTCGTCAAACACACCCCAGCGGAACTTGGCCCACTCCGTCAGTAGCAGGCGGGCGGCGTGGGCGTGAGAATCATTACTCGCCGTGCGTAGAAGGTCACCACTCAGCTGGATGAAGTCCCCCTGACGGCCACACCCCTGGCTCTGTTGCGTCCACGGCCGAGCCCCAAACACAGGATGGGTCTCTGTGACGCGTATGTGGCCTTCTGTGGGTTCTGACGTCACCAGGAGGGGCGTGAGGAGGGAGCAGGTGAGGGCGTCCGTCTTCCAGGAACGAGGGAGAGCCACCGTCACCTCTCTCAGCGACGCACGGCCCTCAGTTGCCGACCACAATTGACTAGACAGCTCCCGCAACACACTCTGTGGAGGAGAACACACCTGCTAAGAGAGTGGACACATGTAGCAAGCTTGATGTTCATATGTAAATAATAATAATTAACGGTTTATTAAAAAAGTTCATCAGCCCGAAGACTAAATATATACACTGGACAGAAAGGCATGGGGTAGGTAGCTCGTTTAACAAAAGCTTTCATTACCAAAAGGAGAAGGAACATGAATTGGACATACTAGTTATAGTTTACAGTTGATGGCCCGGGCTGGTCTCTTGCCCTACTGTGCAGGGGCGGATCCAGGAATATCAAAAGGGAGGGGTCCAAGAAGTTGTTGGTGGGGAAACATGGCGAACAAAGCGAGCTCACCCAGCTGACCACTATCAAGGGCATTTTGAAGCTCCAGTATGTGCACTTGATATGAGGAAATATTCTGAGGTAATTACTTTTTACTACACAAAAATGCCTGAGCACAATACTGCATTAAAGAAAAAAGTATTGGAATTTTCTGATGAAAGGGTGGGTCCGGATACCCAGACCCACCCCTCGATCCGCCCTTGGACAGTGAGATCACGGTCACGTGGTGCAGTAACTCGTCCATAGGTGTTGACATGAAGGACCTCACGTGGTCATGGAGACACCGATTAGTGTAGTGTGGTGTAGTGTCACAGCACCTAACTCAGTGCTAAGTGGTGTTGTATAATCTTTTGGTCAGGTGTAAAGCCGACCCACGGTTGTTCCCAAGTGTGTGTGTGTGTGTGTGTGTGTGTGTGTGTGTGTGTGTGTGTGTGTGTGTGTGTGTGTGTGGTCATGACAGAAGCAGTACAACAGAAAAAAAGTTGACCATCATTTACATTAATTATTCATGGCTGCAACAATCTCGCTGAGTGTTACGTGAAGTGTGACGTTATATTACCATGTTATTTGGCTTATTCAAACTATTGTTAAGTCTGGGTGTGGACATGAATGTATTTATGTGTGTATGTGTCCTGTAAGAATATATGTATTTCGTATTTATGTATGTACAGTGTGTGTGTGCGTGTGCGTGTGTGTGTGTGTTTACGTATGATTGTATTCACATGTACAAATAGACATAGAGAAAATAAAGTTTTTTTTACACTGAAAATCATTTTACAAGTCTGTACCTAGTGATATCACACACACACACACACACACACACACACACACACACACACACACACACACACACACACACACACAAAAGTGAATGAAACCAAACACCGAAATCAATGCGACATTCAACACCATCAGGAAATTTAAAGTGCCTCTGATTGGTTGTGATTGGCCGAGTCTCGCTCATTGATTGGGGAGATTCACCTCTAACCACCACTGTGATTGGACGCTCGTTTGAAGATCTTGAGCAATTTGGTTGGGCGATTCTCATCCAGGGTGATCCACGCTCTGATTGGAGGAGGAGGAGGGTTGTGCGTGCCGGGACTGGCTGAAGGTTCGTGGCGGGTCTATTTATGGAGAGAAAGAGAGAAAGACTTGCTGTTGGTCACTCGCAGGTGAGGTGAACTAGGGTGTACGTTTGAGAGAGAGAGAGAGAGAGAGAGAGAGAGAGAGAGAGAGAGAGAGAGTTAATGAAGTCAGGACAAATCGTAGAAAGAAAGAAATCTTTTGTTAATTTAACCTACAACAAGACCTCACCCTCGCTGTTTGGACTTTGGTCACTCTTGAAGGTTGTCCTCCAAGTGTGTTCGTCCCTGGACCATTTTTTACACTCGTACACGAATTTTTTAGTTGCTTTCAATCTTATACCTTGGCCCTTTGTAGACTCTCTCTCTTCTCTCTCTCTTCCTTCTTGAACAAATCTCTTTCCTTCTGACAAACATCTCTCTCTCTCTTTCCTTCTAACAAACATCTCTCTCTCTCTCTCTCTCTCTCTCTCTCTCTCTTGTATTCTTCTTCGCTGTCTCATATATAACTCAGGATTTCAACAAACTTGTCTTCTTTTTCTTCTCCCTCCTTCTTCTCTTACTCCAGTTCCTCTTCCTCATCCTCCTCTTTCTCCTTCCCTCTTCTTTCGTTTTTCTGTTGAAGAAAAAAATTCCTCAACAGATATATTCCAAATTATCTTTCATTCCTTCATTTCTTCTTTTCCTTCTTCCCACTTTCCTTATCGTCCTCTTTCCTTCCTTCTTTCACGGAGAAGACAACCCCTAATGTTATATTTGTTTTCCATTCTTCTTGTTCTGTTCTTGTTGTTGTTGTTCTTCTTGTTCTTCTTCTTCACATACCAACGGGTCCGTGTCGTCCCCTTGTCGACCCTTTGTTGGTGGAGAATAACGAGGTGACTGTCTCTCATTGGCAGTGAAGTGATTAAAAAAAGAAAGAAAGAAAGAAAAGAAAGAAAGAAAGAAAAAAAGAAGGAAAGAAAGAAAGAAAGAGACAGACAGACAGACAAAGAAAAACAAAACAACAAACACATATTAACAAACTACTAAATTAATACCTGAAACCATAATCTAATAAAAAGAAAACTGGAAGAGAGAGGGACAGAGAAAATACAGATAAATTGAAAGTATAAAAAATGATGATATATATATATATATATATATATATATATATATATATATATATATATATATATATATATATATATATATATATATATATATATATATATATTCTCACCTATATGAAGTCAATTACTGTGTCGGAATTATTTGTATGAGAGAGAGAGAGAGAGAGAGAGAGAGAGAGAGAGAGAGAGAGAGAGAGAGAGAGAGAGAGAGAGAGAGAGAGAGAGAGAGAGAGAGAGAGAGCCACAAAGAGATTCTCGATAGACAACAGAAAGACAAAGGAGATCAGGCCTTAAGTATAGATTACCATAAGGGTGAACACTACACAAGCTATTGACTCTCCGTGTAAGACTTGGTTAATATTGGCTTAATATAATTCTGATGATGTGGTGAAATATAGTTCAATGGAGGAGGCTTATTAGATTATGGTAATGAGGGGAACGTCGGCTATGTGGGGACAGGAGGGTGAGGGAGGGAGGGTGAGGGGGGGGAGGGTGAGGGAGGGAGGGTGACGGAGGAGGAAGGGTGAGAGGTTGAGGGAGGGAGGTGATGGAGGGAGGGAGGGTGAGGGAGGGAGGGTGAGGAGGGAGGGTGACGGAGGGAGGGAGGGTGAGAGGTTGAGGGAGGGAAGGTTGGAGAGTGGGGTGGTGAGGGAGATAGGGGGAGGGAGGTGAGGGAGGTGGAGGGTGAGGAGGGAGAGAGAGGAAGGGAGGTCAGGAGGGTGAGGGATGAGGGTGAGGGAGGGAGGGTGAGGAGGGAGGGAGGGAGAGAGGGAGGGGAGGGGGGAGCGAGGGAAGGACAGGAGGATGAGTTGGGGAGGAGATAGAGATGGGATGGAAAATGGGCGGGAGAGGAAGAATAAGGGGACGGAAAAAGAAGAGGAAGAGGAGTGGATGGGGGTGAGAGGAAGAGGATGAAAGAGGAGGAGGAGAAGGAAAAGGAAAAGAAAGAGGAGAGAGTAGGGGTAGACAGGTGGTTAAGGGGTGGATGGAGGACAGGAAGAAGAGGAGAAAGGAGGGAAGGAAGGAGATTATATCAATAATTTGGTGTACCCGCGAAAACAATGCGCCAAATGTCAGAATTTAGCGGATAATGCCGACTGGGAATTTTATTATGTGGAGAGTCCCTGAGGTTTGGCTGATCTGCATTAGAGAGAGAGAGAGAGCAATCTTTTGGCGCTTGTGACCTTCTCTCTCTGAGCTTACCCTGATAGAACCCGTGATAAAACGTTGAGGTTAGAGCGGGCGGTCTTGGGATAATAGGGACATATCTTGTTCAATGAGAGACTCACGTACCACTGCTATGGGTCCATTTATAAGCTCAATGGGAAAGGTGTCTACACTGGTGGTACAGACAGACAGACAGACAGACAGATAGACGACAGATAGATAGATAGATAGATAGATAGACAGACAGACAGACAGACATAAAAATCAATATAACTGCATAAATAACCAAATATACATAGACAACGAATAGGTAGAGAGAGAGAGACTAACGGTCCTCGTCAGCACAACAACAACACCAGGGAATCTTTTTTGAAAATTCGTCCACTGACATCAACCCTCCTCTCTCTCCTGCCTTTCCTTCTTTCATCCTTCCTTCTCTTTCCTCCATCCTTTTCCCTCATCTCCCTTCCTCAAACACCCCCACCTTCCCCTTAGTGCTCCCCACCCCTAACCTTCCCCCCACCCCCTTTCCCTTCATTTCTCTCCCACCGTAACAAAGGCTGAGAAAACGTCTCCTCCTACGATCAAGTCTCATCGCATTTTCGATTCAATTTTGACCTCCATATAGTTTTTCCTCTAGGCCTAGGGGGTTGCTGTAGGCGTCCTCACACCTCCAGGAGCCAGGTAGAGGCATCCTCACACCTCTAGGAGCCAGTTAGAGGCGTCCTTACACCCCTAGGAGCCAGTTAGAGGCGTCCTTATACCTCCAGAAGTCAGTTGAGGCGTCCTTACACCTCCTAGGAGCTACGTGGGTAGAAGCGTCCTCACACCTCTAGGAGCCAGTTGAGAGGCGTCCTACACCGCTAAACTAGTTAAAGGGCGTCCTCACCTCGAGGAGCCAGTTAGAGGCGTTCTCACACCTCCAGGAGCCAGATAGAGGCGTCCCACCGCTAACATAGTTAAAGGCGTCCTCACACCTCCAGGAGCCAGTTAGAGGCGTCCTTACACCTCCAGAAGCCAGGTAGAGGCGTCTTCACACCTCTAGGAGCCAGTTAAGAGTCCTCTCACTTCCAGAAGCCAGTTAGAGGGGCTGTCATAAAACCTCTTTGTCACTTTAAAAGTTCCTGTCTTAATCTTTGTTATTGTGTTTCATGTGGCACTCTGCTGTGTGGGTCATTATGGCACTCTGTTATTGTGGGTCACTGTGGGACTCTGTTATTGTGTGTCATGTGGGACTCTGTTATTGTGGGTCATGTGGCACTCTGTTATTGTGATCACTGTGGCTCTCTGTTATTGTGGGTCATGTGGCACTCTGTTGTGTGATCACTGTGGCACTC